GCCTCTGCCGGTGCCGCCTCGAGCTCCCCCGGCCCCTCGAGCTCCCTCGGGCCCTCCGGCGCGGCCGCCGGCTCTGGGGCGCAGGGGTCGGGCGGTGCGAGAGTCCCGGGGGCCTTGGCCGGGGACACGGGCTTCGCGCTCGCGGCCGCCCCGCGCCGCACCAGCAGCCAGGCGAGCAGCAGCGCCAGCGCCGTGGCCAGCACTGGCAGCGCGGCCAGCAGCTCGGCCGGCGCCTCCATCGCGCCGCGGCCGCCCGAGTGCCCGCCCGCGGGGACCCCGAGGGAGCCCGCCGCGCCCCGCCCCGCCCCGGGGCGGAGCCCTTGCCCACGCCCCGCCCCCTCGGGCCCCCGGGGGTGGCTCTGCGGCTGGGGGACCAGGGCCCGGACCCTTGCGGCGGCGCTCCGGAGGGCCAGCCCCGCCCTGCACCGGGCAGGCCTGACGCTTTGCGCTTCGATTTGTTTTGAAAACCAGCTTGAAAAGCTCTTTCCTCCGGCGCCCTTAGATTGACCGTCATTTTCGGCATCATTTCCGCCCTGTACAGAAGGTCCAGCACTTTGGAACCGCAGGTTGGGGAATGCTGAGGCCCTGTAAGGCCAGGGAGGCTCACCTAAACCGTGGCACCGGACTGCCTGCAAGACCATGAAAAGCAAACGTTAACTCCGCTCACTCTCGGCCACTTCCAGACCCGTCCACAGCATTTTCGGGGAACACTTACAGTTCCTGGCCGGTGAATACCCCTTCCGGCCTGAGACCCGGCAGCCTTCAACACAAGCCTCATTGTAACGTGGCTGCCCCCCAAAGGCTGCTTTCTGGAATTCAGCTCCAGGTGCCTTAGAGTAACTCTGCTCCCCTACTGACTTTTCCTCTTGGAGTAATTCTCGAGTGTATGGGAGGGGAGAATGAAGGGAAGTCCACTGTTTTTGTTTCTCCAGACCCTTCCTTCTGTTGTGCTTGTTTGCGATAGATATGCTGTAACCAAAAAAAATTGTCTTTACCACTTCCAATAAACACAGGGCAACATCCGTCAGACACCAGGTGAAAAAACAGGGTGCCAGTTTTTGCTTAGGATACATTCATTGCTTTTTTGGAAATATTACAGTGCCTGAGCTGGTATCTGGGGCAAGCCAAGAAGCTAGATGGAGTACTGTTTACATGGAGGACACAAATATGTGCTCAGGCTTCTTCCTGAGCTCCAGTTATGACCACCAGCAGGCTTCCAGGAAGAAGTGGGGCTTAGTCCTGTTGCTTCCCATAATAGTAAGGGGTACCAGCAAAAGGATTTTCAGTGGTGGGTGGTGAAAAATGCCCTGTAACTATAAAATGTGGAATGGGGCTCCTATCTCAGCTACTGGCTTTTGACCCCTGGGGGGACTTTCAGCCAAAGTGGGCCTTCTTTTTTGTCCCCTGCCTTCATTGTTTGAAAGTATACATTTAAGGGGGCCCACTGTGCAAACTTAGCTACATTCTGTATCCACTATTGGATATCGGATGAATAACGAGAAGAAACAAGAATAAAACAATGCAAAAAACCCAACTCTAAATCAAGTTGCTTTATTTAAAATGATAAACAAGTTTCATCCAAGTGAAAGTTAAAAACACCCATCAAACGGTGGAGCCACAGGCATCCCGTGGCGGAGCCCACGGCGAGACGAAAGCAGACGGAGCAGACTGCTGGGTGTCTCTGTGTCAGTGGCAGGAGGAACAAGGACTCTGCACCGTCCCCGTTCTTCTGCACTGTCCAGTCACCTTGGAGACAGCAGACCAGGCCAGTTCTCATGGGACATTCAGTGGGGGCTAGACAGCTCAAGTTTTTGAACTAATGAGGAGATGGAAGTCGAGAGCCCCCACCCGAGGGGGCTGGGGCACGAGGGTCATCTAGTTTTGCTGTATATAATATAACATCAGTGGAACATATTGACAGAAGGCAGGGAGGGGCAGGGGCGTGTGAGGAGAAACCAGACCACACAGGGAACCATCAGCAGTACCCAGCACACACATGACAAACAACTTATTTGTGGAAACGCTACACACAATTCAAGGAACCTACAGCTGTGCACGTACACGCCTACGTCCTAGGAAGCACTTTTTACAACATTTACCACAAAACTCCTGTTCTGTCCCACACTCTTGTCTAAAGTCCTAAATCATATCCAGGCTGAACCTCTAATTAAAGTTCATAAAGCATTTATACCAGCAACTTTCTTGCTGACCCTTAAATATCTTTAGCTAATTTAGAGAGAAACTGAATACTAAAAACCCAGCTATGATGTTATGTTCTTTTATGAAGATCTCATGGACTCGAATTTAGTAAGGTGTGACCCTGCTTTTCTGGTCATGGAAATGGATGTGCTTGACTCCACCTACCCTGACGAGTGACCCTTGGGAACCGTGCATGGCATGCTCAAGTCTTTCAGCTCCACGAGGAGAGGGACCTGGGCTCGTCGCTGCTGCATCTCCAGCACTTAGAACAGTGCCTGGCACTCAAACACAAGCTGAACGCTTGGATGGTTCATAAATGGGCATCTGCAAGCCTAAGCCAAATGTGAATGTCCCCGTGTTTGGTGGCTCTCCCCTCAAAAGGTGTCACCCTGAATATCCCAGCACTACTGACCCCAGAGACACCTGCCTGTGTGCAGCACTGGATACACTTCAGGCTGATGGTAAAGTCTTTGGTGCTCACTCCAAAGCCCCAGAGCCCCACGCTATCTTCCTCCACCCTGCTCCTCCCTATCAGTAGTTACTGGTCCAAGAGCCCTTCTTCCAGGACCCAGCTTGTTGGTCTTCAGTTGGAGAAGTTTCACGTCATGTCCTTGCCCATACTATTGTTGGCCCACTCACAGAAGGAGCTCAGACCAGGTGGGGTGAAGGGTTAACTTTAGAACAGATGGCTCCTGGTTCCCACTTCCTACCTTGTCCCAAGCACCCAGCCACCACTGCACTCCCTTCTCACAGTTTCCCCACCTCATCCCTGCTTTATTTCCGTAATGGTGTGCTTGGCTGGCCCACAGCAAGAGTAACAGGGGCGGGGTGGGAGGTGTTGAATCTCTGGCCTGCCTAAAACAAAGACTGTCCCATGGTCACTCACTCATGGGGTGGCAAAAGCCAAACAGCAGCATGTAAACTGTGTGATCCAGATGCTTTCTGGTGAGGTGACTGCCGGCCTGTCAGGTGGGCTGGATCCCTTATTTCTGAATATTGTCAAACAGGAATCATCTTTGGCCTCTTGGGAAGGCTATAATCTCTCCCATTCAAATTTCTACCCTGTCATCCCAGCCACTGCAAAAGTGTCCCCATCCTGCCCCCTGGTGGCAAACAGCCTTTTGGTTTTGTTTGTTTTTTCTTTAAACTCAAGTTTAAAGGGAACTTGATATGAATTGGAGAGGAAGGTGTGAGCCCGGTAGCAATACTGGGGTAAAGAAAAAAAGCATTTTGGAAGATGGCAAGAACATTTTAAAAAGGAGACAAGAACCCCATTCAGGTGTGAACACAAAGAGACGACACATTCAGGGTATGTCTTTACTCACACCCAAACACACCCTGGAATGGAAGCAGGGCTGCCTGAGCCCGGGTGGCCTGGTGGGGAAGGGGAGCGGCACTGAGGGACAGGTGACAGGCGCCAATGTCGAGGAACATGGTGGACGTTCTCCATCCAATCCGGCCACGTTTTTGGATCGGCATTTGAGAATGCAGACAAAGTAGGGGACCAGCCTCCTAGAGGAAAGCCACATGACTGACCCAGTGTCAAGAAATGATCAGTCTGTTAAAAATATAACCTTTGCACAGAGGAGCCCTGGATTCCCCAGATTATACCCATGTTCAGGGAGGATCTGGGGAGGCATCACCATATAATTCCAGGCCGTCTGCTCCCCGGGAACTCCTGATGCCCTCTGGCTGCTCATGCCCTTACCTAGACCCCCGCCCAGAATGGGGCATGCTGCTCAGTGCTTTTCACTGGGCACATCCTTGACAAGCCCTCTCTTACTTTTATTTAAATTTAGCTGAATTTAGGGACAGATTAAGGCAAGCAGGTGAACTGAGAGGGCAAAAGATGGAACCTGCTGGTCAATCCCCAAGGATTCAGACCAGAGTTACTGAGAAGCCTGAACAGATCCCAAAGACTAGAAGCACCATATATGGATTTATTCCAGATGTGCAGCACAAGCCACCCACCTAATGTCTGCTGGTCAAACAAACAGGGACACTACTCATGATGTCTCTTACAGAGTGAGAGCTTCTGCCTTATGGATCACATGTCAGGAAGAGGCCAGATCTGTTAGAAGTGGGCCCTATTCACAACTTGAATTCTGCGATAAGAACACATTGAACACCTTTCTCATTCCGTTCCTAAACAAAAACCCTGACATGTCATCCCGCCCCCAAAATACACCACACGAAAACACTGCTGGAATTTAAGAGCCTCTCTGGTGGTGGAAGGAAGGTAACTCGTCCAAGACCAGCGGTGAGTGGTGCTGCCTGCGTTGGCTGGGTCATGACCACGGAGTGCGGCTTTGGAGAAACGGTGACACAAAGGAAGGTGGCGTGTGCACAGCACGTTTTACGTGTAATTGGCTCAGACACAAATCTGAGTCCACTCACCCCTCAGGGCCTGCTTGTGCGCAGCCGGCTCTTGGGCCGCAGAGGTTCCTCACCAATGTTGCTGAGGTATCAGACGCAGCGAGACACGCAAGGGATCCCAGCCCTGCGGCCTCGAGGTCGAGCAGCGTGGCTTAGAGGTGACAGCACAGAGCTCCTTACCCAACAGCATGCCAGCATTCGTTGTTTCGGGTGTCACTGAGCTTGCTGAGCTTCGAAACCTCTTGACCATCTATTCTTAGTAAGCAGTAAAAACAGCATTTGACCGAAGACAGAAGCTTGGACCAGAGAAGGTTATCCAAATTCAAAGAAGACAAAGGAGAAGGTGGGAGCAGAAGACGTGAAAACTGAGTCAGGTGGCCAACAGCGTACACAGGAGCCACCTCAGGGAGAGTGTCTTTATTTGCTCAGGGGTGAGCCCGGCCTCCACAAGTGTCCCTAATCCTGCCAAGGAAAGTACAACTGCCTGTAATCAGCATGTAGACAGCACACCTGGTACAAAGCTGGAAGGAAATGTTAAGCAGAACCCCAGGACCCCACATGCAATTCAGGGCAGGGCTGGCCCTAGAACTTTTTCTGACAAATTATAAAATCACAAATCACTGGAAGGTGGGAGTCTCCAGCAACAGAAACATCTTAGAAAAGCAAGAAGAGAAATCTTTAACAATGGCTGTGAAGAGGATGACTTGGTTGAGAAAAGCACAGTCTAGTCCCATAAATTCATGTCACTAGGACACCTGAACTTCTCCTGGAATTCCAGTCTGACTGCAGAGAAAGAGGAAAACAGACAGCAAGGCTTGTGGGTCCTACGCTTTCCTAACGTGTGTTAAGAAAACACCCAGCTGCTCAGAGATACAAAGAACACAACAGCAACATCACCCGCAGCAGGCCAGGCCCTCAGATGCTTAGAGTCCTCCGAGTTTCTGTACTGACCTCCCTCCCTGAAAGCTCCCCACTTACTGCCGTCGCCAGACACACTGCGACTCGCTCGTGAGAAGAGTCTGGCTCCAAAGCTCACTGAAAGCCCATTCCGTGTCCACCACGAGGGCACACGCTGGCAAAGAGATTACCCTACTGACTCTGATTTTAAGTTTTAACTTATTTAGACCCAATCTGGTTCAAAGAAACAAACAAACACACACACACACACACACACACGTGGGAGACGTGATGAAGATCTTATAGAAAGCCGGAGTTCTTCACGGATGTCTCACTTGGTGTGAGCGCTCAAAGCAACAATGGCAAGTGGGGGGAAAAGCAGGAGGCCGGCCTTGAGGCTCTCGGGAGACACCGGGGACCTTCTCTTGGGCTGCCCCCGACTGCTGTGACCATCTCTTCCCCATCGAGGGCACACCGCAGTGGGGTAACTGCTTTCCCACAACACCACAGGAAGAGCAACAAGGGGAGGTTCTGGTATTCTCAAAAGATCAAAGTTGCAAGGATATAAAATGGATTTAGTTTTTATTAAATAATGTTAGGGATTTCCTTGGCACCATCCACACAGATTCTTGCCTTTATGCATAAAATGAGCCACGTTACTTTGCACTGGCAGCGGAGCAAAAAGCTACTGTAGCAAATGCTAAGTGAACGGACTCCTATTCGAAGGGCGTCCTCGCTCTCTGGCTTCCTTCGGCCCTCCCCTTGTCTGCAGATCCAAAAGGCTGCCCTCCCCAGGGCCCTGCCCCTTGCCGCGGGCATGTCCTCCTACAGAGACAACAGCCGTGCGTGGTCACCTGGAGGAGCTGCGCTCTTTGCTCACACAGTCGTCCTGGGAGGTGGTGTCCCCATTTCCCATCATGCTGCATGTTCTCCGCTTCTTCCGGCGGTGCATCGTCCCATCACCTTCAGACCCAGACTCACACTGGACGGGGGAGGAAAAAAAACAGGAACTCAATGAGATGCAACCCATTCTGTCTGTAAATAAACTTCCGACCTCAAGAGACGGCACAAATGTCATCCGCACTCTCCCAGAAGTGAAGCAGCCATTTGCCGCCGCGCCCCAACACAGTCTGAAGGGCCGTCTCCCTCCGGTGTTTCTGCCTCCCAAACACTGCAGCTTCCCTCACATGCTGGCTGCCCCTCCAGTGTTCTCCAACGGGAGGGTTATTTGTTCGAAATCGGGACACACGCTCTAAGAATATTTTATGGTCAGATTCTAAGATTGCATTATGCCATTTCACTGCGTCCACACAGACCCCGAGGAGGTAAGCACAGAAGTATAGCACTTAACACTCACACCACTCCCCCGCCCTTGCCCCCTGCAAAACACCAAATCCCCAGATTATGCGAAGTGCTGCGACAGAAATTTCATCTGTTGAGTGCCCAGGTTCCTCTTCCCCAAAATGACGTTAGCTTCTAACAAACCACTGAATTTGCCGACTTTCCAGGCTTACAGTTTACATCCACAGGGCCAATTCTCAACACGGGTTTTGAGGTGACAATGCTATAGGTCTGAAACCCCATCATGAGCTGTGTGATCCTCGGCCGTTCGCTTAACAAAATCCCCAAATACTCCTTTTACCTCTCGAAGTTACTGCAACGACATGCGCATGCACCCACACCCCACACACACGTGCAAGGCTGTAACATGGGCAAAATTCACCACCCAGCAGGAATGGTGGCAGCTGTAGTTCTTGGAACAAAGTGGACCATGTTCTCATCTCTCTCCCTCCCGGACCAGAGAGGGGAGAGTCACATCTGGTGTTTCCGGGGTGACCTGCCCCAAGGGCCTGGGGAGGGAGCAAGGCCTCACCTCCGAGTCCGAGTCAGATGAGCTGGAGCTGGAGGAGCTGGAGGAGTCACTGGAGCTGTCCGAGGCAATCCCTGTGGACTCCTGAAGGTCAACGGAGTCAGCCAGGACCGCCAACTCGGGGTGCTCTTGCTTCAAGATCCTGAGAGACAAGAAACATCGTTCCCAGCGCTGGGACCAGCAGCAACACCTGCACACAATCACCCGGACTCAAAGCTGAGGCCTGTCTCTCTCAGAAGCACCTGGGAATGTCAGGTGCCTTGGCTCAGATATGGGTGGACAGTGGTGAGGACACACGGATCCACAGGCTGGGAACAAAAGCCCTACCATGCTGCTCAGGCTTTTCTGAAAGGCAACCTAGCTGCACGCGAGTTACTATGACCTTCGCAAAGGAGCCAGCCGTGCTGCCGACCTGTGAGGCAAAGTTGCCCCGAGTTAGTCTTTTTTTTTTCCACCTGGGAGAGAGTCTCTCTTCCTTGTGTTTTTTCCTGAACCATTCCTAGCTGATTTTTTTTAAACCCTTCCTTTCCACCACACAGCACTGAGTGACCGCAGCTGGGCTTGGTTAAATTCTATTTGTACGAGTAGCAACAATTAGGTTTGCAAGAAATAAGAAGTGTCAAGCAACAGAAAGGGTTCCCCTCACTTGAAGATAAAACTGAACTGGACTTTCAGAGGCAGCAGCCCTCCCCTTAGGGACCTGATCTGGCATCCACTCTAACCAGGGACAAAAGACCAGCTGTATGGTAAGGCCTTTAAGATGACCAAATCACAACACACAGCGGCCTATGGGATGGAGTAAGTGGGCCTCAGGTGCCCGTGAGTCCGGGGAGAACAAAGCCACCACCCTTGCTGGCCCTCTCAGCAGGGAGGCTGAGCACTGACCAAGCCAGGATCCCTCTCTTACCCCGAGAGCTGGTCCCTCCAGGTCAGGGTTGGGACACAGTGGCACGGGGTGGCTGGGGGTGGCTTGCACTGCCGCTGCCCGTGCTGTATCTGTTCTGTGGATAAACAGAGGAGCTAAGTCTCCAGGGCAGTCACCTCACTCACAAGAACTGAAGGTAATAAGTTCAAAGGGGAATAATGCTTCTCAGTAAGAAAAAGAAAGAACCAAAATAAAACCCAAACAAAATGGCTTCCTTTGCTAGTGCTAGCTTTGGGGAGGGAAACAACAAAAACAGAAAACAAAACAAAACAAACGGAAAATGAGAATCAATCCCAATTATGACCATGTTTTGACTGACTGATCAAACATGCAGAGTCTTACCCTGTCACCTGGAGGCTGGCAAGCATCCTGAGAACTAGCCCTGACCTTGGACCCACTCTCCTCTGCCCGTGCGGATTTGCAGCCCCAGCTCTCCCACGCCTAAGATCAGCACACGTTACTGCAGCAGTAGACTCTTTCCATTTCACCTCTGGGGTAGGAATTGGAACAAGAAAAAAGTAAGAAAAAAAATGTCTCTCACCTATACCATTTCCTCGATAACTTTGGTCTCCCTCTTACCGTCTTGTGCCATACAACAGGGAAGTTGGTGCTGCTGGCAAAATTCTGGGTGATGGCAATGGTGGTGTCAAGATTAAGGACAACATGCCACCAGCCTCCTGAAATCCAAAAAATAAACAGTTAAATAGGGTTTGGTTCTGCACAATCACAAATAACATAAGCTTCACGAATAGAGAGTTCCTATCTACCCAACTACAGATGAGACAGGTAGAGGCTCGGAGACATGAGATCAAGACTGGTCAATGCTTCTCCTGATCCAGGAATCCCAACCTATTTGTGGAAAGTTCTACTGGAGCACAGCCATGTCCGTTCATTTTCGGATTGTCTGTGGCTGTTTTCCTGCTCCATAGGCAGAGTTGAGCAGTTGGAACAAACCCTGTCTGGCCCACAGCGCTTGAAATATTTACTCCTTGCATTTTACAGAAAAAGTGTGTTGACCCCTGTTAATCCAAAACTGTGATCAAAACTGTAAAGGCAGCAAGTTCTTCAGCTCCTAGGAGGAGAACACCTATCTTCAATATTAAACGCCCTCACTCTCAACACTTAGCCTATCAGGTACGGGACATCCTTCCTCTCAGCCCCAAGTTCCTATATCCTGGCTCAACCCGGCCAATGCTACACTCTATTAAAAACCCAACTTACAGAAATATACACAAGTTACAGTATGTCCACAGAGACACCAGATAACTACTATGCATAAAGATGAGGAGAATCTTTACATACAAAAAGTTTATCAAAAGGCACTATGTATTTAGCTTACAAGAGATGTGGATAACAGCCCCCTAAGCACTTGACCACACAGCCGCACATCACTGTCTAAGGTGGGAAGCAGTCAGTTCGTTTAGAGTCAGCATGCAGACAGGTTTTTTTGATTCCTTCTATATACACCTGTGCTTCGAAATGACAACTGAAATCAAAGAATGTACTTTCTCTTAGTTCATCTATACCTGGTACAAAAACAGTCTCTCCTGGTTTTTGTAAGATTTCCAGGGGTTTGAATTCAGGTGGCCAGGTGGGAAGCTGTGTCCGGGGATGAATGATACTAAACCATGTAATAGCTTCATCTTGCTGGTTCCCTCCTTCTTCACGGGTCACCTTGATGAGTTCCCTGGGCGTGCTGGTAGGAAAAAGGCACCAGCGCTTGTGGCCCTGAACTAAGGCATTCCAGGCACTGGTTCCCAGAGGGTCGATGTGAATTCCAGTTCCAGAGCGTGGTGGCCCCATCACAAACCACCTAAAGGATGGAAAAGTCCAAGATATGAAAGCTAATTTAACTGTATACACGCGCCACCAAGTTATGTGAGTTTTTAGTCTTATACGTTATGTTCTTTATTTCAGAAACTACATAAATCCTGCTACGCAGAAATGCTGCATGAGCCATGCCTGGAATACTCCGTAACAGAAAGAAGAAAAAAAAAATCACTGATGTGGCTTACTACTACTGGGCTTTAACTATTAAAACTTCCTTTAAAGATCAGTGGTTTAACTTTGGTTGCATGTTTGAGTCACCTGGGGCGCATTCAGATCCTGATGCCCAGGTGGCAACCCAGACCAGTAAAACCAGTCTGTGGCCATAGGACCTGGGCAGGCAGCAGTAAACCCCTAAGTAAATTCCATGTACAACTAAGGAAAACCACTCACTGTTATGGAAAAAGGTTAGCCGACTGAGCTCAGGTGACACATACTGTCCTACGTTAGACTGTAAGGGCTTCACCGCCAGATACTTTACCTGTAAGGGGGCCTGCGTTTCTCCCCGGCATACTGGAAGAGATCATCAGTGAAAAACTTGGGCACCTTGTAGTCTTCCAAAAGTTTCCTTCTTTTGGGGTGCTCTCCATAGCTGCTGTCAAAGATGTAAAGGGGGCTGTCGTCCCGAGTGCTCTCCATGTACTCGATGTAGTATTTCATCTTCATCTTCACGGAGTAGCCGTCATTATCCTCACCACACTTGAACTTCTGGTTCCGGTACTTCCTTTTTAGGCGCTCCAGGGTCCATTTCTCCTGCGCAGACCAACCCTCTTGGGCATTCAGCAGAACCACGGGCTTGTACGGTCTTTCATATCGCTCCACAAATTCTTCCACAGACAACTGTAATGCGTCTGCCCTTTCCACGTTATCCTGAAAGAATTAGAAAAGACCTATCCAGTTAATTAAAAAAAAAAAAAAGTCCAGCGGCAGCAAAAGGCGTCCCCCAGGACCAATTAGCAACGACATACCTAAGGAGCCAGATTCTCGTTCTGGCTTATCTTTGGGGGGGGGGTAGAGGGACAAGGACCTGCGTGTGGACTGACACGTCGCACCCTGCGCCGCCCCACCAGGGGAAGGGGGCTTCGCATCTCCCACTCAAGGGCCTCCACAGTCAAGTCCCCGGGGGCCCCACAGCCCAAAGGGGTCAAGGGGCGACAGTCCTTCTTGTGGATATTGCCAAAGGCGTCAGGCTCGAGGTAGCCGGGCAGGCGGCAGCTGCGGCGCGGGAGGAAGGGGGCCCGCCCTGAAACCCGGGCCCCGATGACCCGGACCTCCGCGGGGTGCGAGTGAGCCCATCGGAACTCAGAGGTGCCGAGCTGGGCGCTGGGGGAGGTGCGCATGAGCCCGGAGGTGCCCATGCCCGGCCCCAGCCCGCGACCCCCGCCCACTCACCGCCACGGCCGCAGGGTTCAGCGAGAAGCTCTCGTAGTAGTTGTGACGGGTCCAGTCCAGCGAGTCCTTGAGCTCCGGCCGCGCACTCCGCTTGGCCTCGCGGATCCGCTTCTTGCTCTTGTGGTTCATCCTCCGGGGGTCACCAGCTGCTCCCGCGACGATCTCGGCGCGCCTCGCTTCCTGCTTCCAACGCACCCCCTTCCCCGGCCCGGGCAGCGGCTGCGGCGGTGGAGGCGGTGGAGGCGGTGGCGGCGGCGGCACGCAAACGCCCTTCGCTCTGGCCCGGCGCCTTTAAAGTCGCCTTCCAGAAAATTCACTCCCCAACCACCTCCCGGGCCTCGGGTTGGGCACGCGGCTGCCGTCTTCCCCGCCCCCCGGCCTGTCGCGGTGAGCCATTGGCTCGGGCACCTCCGGGGTCCGCCCTCACACTCGCCGGCTCTCCGCCATGTTGGGAAGGTAGCGCTGATCGAGGAGCCGCCTGACTACGGCTCCGCCTCTCCCGCGCCCGCTTCCGGTGTGCGCGTCACTTCCGGGCGTGGGCCGCTTTATGCGCGGCCCGTTTCCGGCGTGCGAGTTCCCGAGGCCACTTGTCTTCCGTGTCTCTTTTGCCTGGTCTCCGGTGTCTTCTCACTGCGCGGCCACATCGTCGCCGGAAGGGTGCTTTCCCCGCCCTTGCAGTGAAGTTGCAGCGACCCGGCAGGGCCGCGAAGGGCCACGTGGCGCCGGTGAGGCGGCCCCAGCCGGCCAGGGGTTTCCCGCGCGCGCAGCCTGGCAGCCCGGCGCTCTTCGCTATTCCCGGCCCGTTTGGGGGCCCCCGATTTCCCCCTGGGCAAGCGTGGTCCCCGACGGCATGAGGTCCGGGTCCAGCGCTTTCGGTTCTCGGAGGAGCCTGGCCTGGGGGCCGAGGGGGCCGTACTGGAGGTCAGCGTCCCGCAGGTGCGTGCGGCGGGAGGTGCCTCCGGTCCTTTGCGGTGGCGCCCAGGGCAGGAGCGACCTGGGGGTGTTGGGGGATGGGGGCGGGGCTTGGCGGCTACCCTGCCTTAGGACGGACCTCAGGGCGGGAAGGTTTGTGGTCTGAAGGGGCCCTGCCGGGAAAAGGGCCTTCCACATCGAATATATCGTGCCAGAAAGGTGGCATTTTTGACACCAAATATTTTCTTTGATTTTGAAGGGCTTCTTAACTCAGCTTTATCCAGGACCGAGGATTCCACCCTCCCTTTTCAAATAAAGTTTCTTGGGTTGGCACTCATTTGTTCTTTTCAGCCCACGGCTGTCCCCAAACTCTCAGTAATAATAGAAGTAATACGTTATGCGTTCGGTTTCTCAAAGCACTTGGACGTTCCAATGTTTCGATTTTAACAGCAGTCTGTGAGGCAGGTATTAGCAAAAATAATTTGAAGATGAAAAACCGCCTAAGAGGAGGTTAAGTCTCCAGTGAGACCCAGTTCTGATAGTTTTTTAAATGCCTTCGTGTTGAAATACCCACTGGGACTTCTTCCCAAGTTTAGGAGGTGAAGATACTCCCTGTGAGAACAAAGACCCCTTTACAGCCAAATCTGCAAACTCACTCACTGCTCTGGTCAGAAATCCTTTATTGTATCCTGGGTAAAATCTACCAGGCAGGCATTTTATTCACGCAGCACTCCCTACACTTAGAACCAGTGCCTAGGCACTAATATTTTTGAGTGAATTGAATGAGTTCAGACTTTCAGTTCCTTCACCTTTGATACTTACACCACTCCAGCCCCCTTTCCAACCAGTCCACTAGCAGCACCCTCTGCTCTAGAAAACAGAAAGACTTTCAGTTTTGCAGTTTAATGACAGCTTGCTTTGCCTATTTTGTGCCGGGTGCTGTACGAAGTATTTTGCATTGAGTCTTCCAAGTCACCCTATGAGATAGGCTTTTTGCAGGTGAGGAAACTGAAGCACAGACCGGTTAAATAATGGGTGAGGTCACACAGCCAGCATTTGAACTCAAGGCGGGCTCATTCCAAAGGTGGGAGTCCTTATTTTGCCTCCCTGAATACTATGCTCTCACAATTCTGTATCTTTCCAAAGGCTCTGGAGGCTGCCTGCCTTCCTAATTCCAGGACTGAGCTGCAAACTTCTGGAATGTCTTCCTGGACTTGTTTCCCATAAGCATACCAAGTTACGCCTGTGATTATAACCCTCTGATACATTCTTAACTGCACTTAAAATAAAAGCTAAACTTCCTGTGGCCTACAAGACCCCACAGGTCTGGTTCCTGCCTTCCCACTGACCTCTGCACTACAACCCTGCCTCTCAGCCCCCACGCCCCTGCCGTCAGTGCCCTCTGTGGTCCAGCCAGAGGCTTTTTAGTTCCTGCTTCAGGACCCCTGCCTGAATCATTCTCGCTATCTAGGATAGTCACCTTGTGGTCACTGTCTCCCCACCCCTCCCTGCCCCCACTACTCTCTCACATCACCTGCTGTTGTGTTAGCATTATCACCAACTAAAAATATATTTGCTTACTTGTGGCTTGTCTTTTTCCCAGTAGGGTATGTATGTGTGTGTATATGTGTATTCCATGATAACCTAGTTACATCCTTAGTCCACTAAGCCATTCAGTCCCTGGATAAATGCTTGTTGAGTGAGTGTATGAAGAGTGCTTATGACAGGGTATTGCAGTTTTATATACCCCATGGGATGTGAACTGGACAGCAGGGAACTGTCATTTTTGTTCAGTGTCGGGCACTCTAATTGCTGTAAAAATATATACTCCAACTGCCAGCAGATGAGTTATTTTTGGCATACAAAAAATTCTTTTCAGGTGCTGCATCTCCAGTATGGGATGTATGTTTGGCCCTGTGCGGTGGTCCTGGCTCAGTACCTGTGGTCTCACAGAAGATCCCTGCCAGGCAAGGCTGTCTTAGAGGTACAAGTGCCCTTGAGGTTTCCTAAAATGATCTGTTCGGATTTAAGTCTACGTGCTTGTTACTTTTGTTAAATATTTTTAAATCGGGTGATTTGGCCAGCTTGTAAGTCATGTGAGCTAAGAATGCTTTTTACATTTTGTTTAAAAAAAGAACACGCACCAGAGACCACAGGAGTCCCACTGAGACTAAAATACCGCCTGGCCCTTTACATTATGCTGACCCTTATTCTAAGTGAAGCCCGTTGACTAATTCTAGTTATAGAATCTTGGCATGGAAACAATCATTAAGATCATCTTTCCAGGGTGTCCCAACAGGGTCATCCGGGGTCTAGTGTGTCACATGCAGTTTCTCATACAATAGCCCTTTCCATATTTTGGAAATCTTGAGAGTATCCCAAACTCTTCCTCATCACTCCACCTGACATGAGACTGCTAAATGCTTGGAGAAATAAACTTTTTGTCAAGTTTGCAGAAATGGTACCAGGCTTAAATGTGAAGGCTGAGGACAAATCTAGAACTTAGTTACACCTCTTAACTTTTGCAAAACCATGTAAATGAGGGGTGTGAAGATACTTGGCATACTTCTGGCCCTGAACAGTGGCAATTTGTAGACATTCAGAAAAGACTGATAATCTCCCAAGCTCTTGCTCAGAACTGGAAAATGGGAAACTTGTTTTAAATCCAATACTTATAAAGGCATTCCTTGGTTAGTCCTTAGGATGCGCGAGACCTTGTCACTTTGAAGGCCCAACTGGAAAATCCCCTTTGTAGGAAGCCACGTTTCAGACCTGTCAAGTTATAGCCACATAAAAGCAGTAAAAATTGGTAGTAACAGCCAGGTGTGTAGGCAACTCACCCATCAAGCTTCTAGAGACCCAATGTCCTGTATAAATAGGAGCTCCCTTATAGACTGTAAGAGAACTGAAAATGACAGAACAAGTGTCCCAAACTGCCTTGGGCATATTAAGCAATTAAGTTGACACACACTTTGGAAGCACCTAAGTCAGTTGAGTTGCAGAGTACAGGGCCCTGGATAGGACTTAACCTTCCCACCCAATTAAGAGGAATCTCAAGTAATTCCTACAAATTAAAAAGCTTGAGCTTCATACAATAAAGCACTGCAATTGTGGCACATTTTGTAGATAGGAGTAGCTCATGATTGACCCTGTACTTAGGGAAAGGTTCCCAAATTCCCTGCAATGGTAAGCAGAACTTTGAAATGCTGTCTTTTAAATTTAGATTGGAGCTGGAGTGAGCCTTCCAGGAATTATGGCCGCAAAATGCGGTGCTGAAGTGATCTTGTCGGACAGTTCAGAGCTGCCTTACTGTCTAGAAATCTGCCGGAAAAGCTGTGAAATGAATAACCTGCCACAGGTGCATGTCATAGGACTGACATGGGGCCATGTATCTCAGGATCTTCTGGCTCTACCACCACAAGATATTATTCTTGCATCTGATGTGTTCTTTGAACCAGAAGGTAAAACTTTTTTGGTCTTCAATAGTAACTCTGGCTGGAGAGATGTAAGTAAAAGTCCACTTAAGGAGTCCTTTCTTCCCAGATTTTGAAGACATCTTAGCTACAGTCTACTTTTTGATGCAAAAAAACCCCAAAGTCCAGTTGTGGTCCACTTACCAGGTAAGAAGGTAAGCCTGAATAATCCTGGTTTACTCTCAGTTTTATTGAAACTTAAATCCTAATCCTCATGCAATATCTACTTTAAGGATAAAATGAAAATGTATCTGAAGCAAAACAGGAAAAGCATGATTTTAAAAAACTATTTTTTTTCAGTGCTGACTGGTCACTTGAAGCTTTGCTCTACAAGTGGGATATGAAATGTGTCCACATTCCTCTGGAGTCTTTTGATGCAGACAAAGAAGATATAGCAGAATCTGCCCTCCCAGGAAGACACACTGTTGAAATGCTGATCATCTCCTTTGCAAAGGACAGTCTCTGAATTACACCTACATACAGGCTCTTCTGGGACAATGTCAATACTAATTAGCAACCTGGCATGCCAACTAAGACTCAGACCACTTCAGCTTCTTGGGAGTACAAGCACTGAATATGGTCTGATCTGCTGGCCTTAAAGATGGTGGTGGGTCACCTAAACACTCCTGGGTTACAAAGCCATGAAAACAAAAATTTTTACACCCGTAAAAAAGGGACTTGTTCTTTAGAAAAAAAAAAATTTAAAAACAGCATAAATTAAGCTGAGAGACGGGGGTACCCACAACCTCAAGAAAGTGCTACCTTAGAGCATTGATTTTAGGGGTTATGGGTGCTGAAATGGCATTTCCACTTTTTAACTTAGGAAAAAAGTCAACTACTACACATTTCACTTTCATACTGCACAGTCAGTAACAATTCACAAGGTAATTGCACAGGTCTTTCAAATAAAGGGGGGAAAAATGACCAAGACATATTCTGAGAAAAGCTAACACCAAGAAAACGTTTTAATTAAACTACAGAAACAATGGTTATAGTACAGAATTTTCATGAGCAAAAAGATACACCATGTTATAAGTACTTACAAAGTTACAAACCATTTTGCTTCCTTAACATTTTCCATATTTTAAGTTCATACATGAAGATGATCAGATATACCATTTTGGGGGAAGGGGGGGGAAAGGTGTATTTATCATCAGCTAGATGTGCTCACTGTATGCTCCGTTATTTATATGCAAGGCCCGGGTGACTGGAAGTGCAGTTGTCAGGCATTTTAATAAACTGGACAGCCATTTGTTTCTGCACGACAAGGCATCTTTACACAGGAGCAATCAGGAGAAAACAGGAAACAGCCAAGCACTCTGCACTGCAACACGCCACCTTAACAGCTAACCAGCATTACTCAACTGCTACACAACTGCGCCTAGTGCACAAAAATACACAAGAGAAGAGATTAGAATTGTGTTTGGTAAACAATCCTTTTCAAAAAATCAAGTCTTTTCACCTGAAAAGTCTTTATACAAATTTGGGTTCAGATTACCACTTAGATCTGAAGGTAAATAACATATACAAACAAATTTACACCGACTTTTGTAGGTTTTTAATTTTAAGGAATGAAGGCAATGTTGAGTCAATCTCTTGACAGCTTTAGGCTGTGTGTAATGGCTGCACACGTTTCCTTAAAAGTCAGGAGGCCACAAATTAGGTTACCAATCTGTTTAATTTCAAACAAAAAAAGTCAGCACTATATAAACAAAAAGGAAAATTTACCTCAAATATCCAAGCCAATAATGAAATCTGAAGTCGTTCACCTCACTAAATTACAAGAAATTTGAATAACAGCAACAAAATGGCACATAAAATGAAGTTTGCCACCTGAGGCAAAGCTTAAAACAAGTAAAAAGTTAGACAAATGTTACAAAATAACCTTTTCAATAGCCAGTTGCTTGTTCCAAGGACTCTTCGATGGACTGAGTTTGTGGTCCTTTTCCCCCAAGTCTTCTGTTATGTTGCTTGTTGACCCATCTAGGTTTGAAAAGAAAAAAGTTCAGTTTATCTTCCATTACAATGAAGTTGCCGAAAGTGCACATGGTTTCAGTTTCAGGCATGTACTTACTAAGGCTCTGGTGAAACAAGTAGGTTACGGAAAGGTTCCACCCAGCCATTAATTATAAAGGCCCAATTAGGAAATTTTCACAAAGGCTACCATCCGCTTTTACAAATTTGTGTTTATGCAATCTTGGCCAAATAACCAAGGTGAAAAATGATATAAGGGAGGGAAAAAGGGGGGAAAAAAAAAGAAAAAAAAGGACGGTATCCAAACAAAAACAACTTGAAATCAGAAAATCAGTCTATTTTAAGATAAATTTTTAGTTCTCAAATCAAACATTTGGCAATTGAGAATAAAGCTTTAATATCTGAGCTACTTAGGGCCCTTTCCTTTTAAAAAATAGGACCAAACAATTTGAGAGTTAAAGACACACTATCCTTTCCCCACCCAGTGCAATACCTGTAAACTTTTTTGGGGTTCCAAAAGTTCATTGCTTCTTTTTGCAATTCGTTTGCCACATCCATTAGAATATGAAGTCCCAGTCAGTACAACAATAGTTGAACTGATCGTTTTCTCTAAGAGGATAGTGCATCTTTAACATTTAAAGACAAACCTGCTCCAATACACGCCCACAGAAACTGGTCCCTGGAGGATCAGCCAAATCAGTTAAAATCTGCAATACTGGCCAATATTCTTTTATCAAACAGGAGACCGCAGCTTTAAAGGGGAAAATGCAGACGTTGGATAAAAACAGCAAGAAATAGTCATTTTCATTAATAGGTCTCAAACAGTTTACGAAACAGCCATTATTATCTAAGCTTTATGCACATCCTTTCTGCAGACCCCTCTCGTATTACTCCCAAAGCTGAGTTAGCTCACAGCCGCACTCCCGACATCAGGAGCCACTTTTATATTAACACGGATCATAACAAGCTCCTGCAAACCCCATCTCTGAGTTCGGGTCATGTGTCTCGGATCCCCACTGACATTACCATTCGCTTAAGAGGACACCGCTCCTTCCTCCTCGGGAGACTTGGGGGGACTCTTGGAGCGCGACCTGGACTTGGACTCCCTCTTGGACACGGGCGGAGGGCTCCTGGACCGGGACCGGGACCTGGAGCGCGAGCGAGACCTGGACACCGACGAGGACTTGGACTTGGACCTTCGCGCCGACCTGGACTTCGACGTGGATCGCGACCTCGAGCGAGTGCGGGAGCGAGACTTGGAGCGGCTATAGCGGGAGCGACTGCGGGACCTGGACCGGCTCCGACTCCGGGAGCGGCTGCGACGGCGCCGCCGAGGGCTGAGGGCGGACGGGCCGGGCGTCAGGGCGGCCATCGGGACCCGAGGGCCGCGCCGCGCCCCGCCCGCGTGCTGCGCCCGCCCCGCCGCCATTACCGCGCCGCCCGCCGCCCGGGCGCCATTTCCCCGCCGCCCGCCGCGGCCCCGCGCCCGCCGCCGCCGCCACGTGTCCGCGCGGACCTTTGTGCCCCCCGGCCCGTTTACCTGCGGCTCCGGCGTCCGTAGCCGCCGCCGCCATAGCGGCGGGGCGGCGGGCCCCGGCGGCTGTGGTGCGAGTCCGGGGGTCGGCCGTAGCGCGCCATCTGTACCCGCAGCTCGCGGCCATCCAGCACGGCCCCGTCCATGGCGTCCATGGCGTCCTCGGCGTCGCGCTTGTCGTGGAAGCGGACGAAGGCGAAGCCGCGGGACTCCTTGGTGTAGCGGTCCCGCGGGATGTACACGTCGCCGACGCGCCCGTACTTCTCGAACACGCGCCTCAGGGTGTCGGGCGAGGTGCGGTAGGTCAGGTTGTCCACCTTGAGGGAGGTCATGCCCTCCACATCGGGAGGCGGGCGACCGTAACTCATGGCCCTGGAGAGCCGGCCGGGGGCCGCGACTGCGCGCCTACAAACTAACGCCCTGGGCGGGCCCGCGCGCTCGGCTGAGGCGGCGGTTTCCTCACACTAGGCCGGCTCGACGCCGCGCCGCGCCTCCAGCAGTTGGCTTCCGCGTGGAAACGCTGGGAAAGGCCGGACGGGGTAGTGGTGAAAATGCGAGCGAAAAAGCAGCAGCACTCGACCCCACCAAAGAAACAACTGGGCGGGCAGCCGGCCCTAGCGCCCGTTTATATCCCTCCTCACAAAATGGCGCCCGCGCCACCCGGAAATGAATCCCCTGATTGGCTCGCCCCTCCCCGCCCCGCAACGCCGCGGCCACGCGCCCCGCCCCTGCCCGACGCGCCTGCGCAGAGCCCGGCGGGCGGGCCGAAAAGCGCGGAGTCACTATTGCTGGGAGGGGGGAGCGGAATTTGTGGGCAGTTGGAAAGCCCGCGAAACGCTCTTTCCGGCTGCGAGGCCGTACGGGCGCTCTCCCGCAGGAGGAACAGGAAGCGTTCCCCTTCCAGGCCCCGCCTTCTTCTCATGCCAATATAAGAGCTCGAGGCAGCTTTTCTGCTCGGACCTCCGCAGAAGGTTCCCGCTTCTATCAGAGGGGGTACTACTCCCCCTACCCTCGTTTGCCTCGTGATCTCCAGCTTTCTCTGGCCCCGCTACGATGTCTCCAGGCTCCCTCCCGCAGTTCCCGACTTCTCCGCGGGGTTCCGCTTTGTAGCCCCTCCTTCGCTGGGGCGCGCGGGCTCGGCGCCGCGCCCCTCCACACGGCGCGCCTGCGCGTTTCGGGCTGCACGGGACTACATTTCCCAGCCGGCCGAGCGGCTGGCGCCGAGGCTGCGGTCAGACGGCCTGGTCGCCTGACCCGCGGCGAGTCAGGGCCGGCCAGGCGGGCGGGGTGCGCCGGCTGCTGCACCTCGGCCTTGGCCCATAATCCCCCTCGCGGGCCCCTCAACCTGAAGCCGCGACGTTATTGGCACCTCTCCGGGTGTCGGGCCTTTCCCTGCTCGGATCGGATCCTAGGAATGTCCTAACTGCCCGTGAGGAGAACCTCACTCTCGGCCCGCGATTCTGATCCAAGAACTGGAAGTTGACAGCTTGGCAGCCTTGCTCCTGGATCTGCCTCCGCTTCTCACCACCTCATTTCCTTCCCCAGGATTGTCAGTGGGCTCCCCCGAGGAGAGCTGACCGCCCTGGGCTGCTACTGACCTCCGGCAGAGTTGAGCCACAATGTCCCCGGAGTCTAAAAAGCTTTTCAACATCATTATTTTAGGAGTTGCCTTTATGTTTATGTTCACCGCCTTTCAAACTTGTGGAAATGTGGCGGTGAGTCGGGATCTGTTCTCCCTCCTTTGAAGTGCCTCTCATAACGCATTCCAAAAATGATAATAAACAGTTATTGTGCCTAACAGCGCGCTTAAGTTGCACCTTGTATTTTCCCACCTACCCTTCCTCGGTTTTTATGCCTCGGTTTAATTTCACGTGTCAGACGTTTCTTATTAATACTGTATCGGGATGGGGAGTTAAGACCGCTTATTCCTCTGATATGACTTGGGGTTTGTACGTTGACCTGTTATTTCTTGTCTGTACTAAAGTCTCCATTAGTATTGGGAGAATTGAGGAGAAAAGAACCCCAAGGCATAGCTACAGCTGGTGTCCCCTCCCGCCCCCCGTCATCGGTTTGCCTTTTCCTGTTTTTTAGTCCTTTTTTTTGTCTCATAGTTGACTTTCAATATGAAGTACTGAGTATCTTGAATTTTACTTTACCGGGTGCTTCATTCCCAGTTCTTGGAGACAAACTTTGGTGGGGATGGGGAGGGAGACTGCGAAATGTTTTCATTGAATAGCTTTATCTTCCACGCAGCAAACTGTCATCAGGAGCTTAAATAGCACAGATTTTCATGGCAGTGGATATACCAGGTATTGTACTGTATGATTGGTCTTACTTGATGTATTACGGTAGTTACCTAAATCTTACCAGAATCTCTGGCAATAATACTGTGATTGAATTAGTAGTGGTTGCTTTTTCTCCGTGACTGGTCTGTTTGGGAGAACATAATAGAATAAAGGTGATGAGTTTAGGTTTCATGCAGAATTAAATACTGGGTTTGAAATCCCGGTTTCATGACTTAACACTGCATTATGTTAGGCGAGTTACTTCTATGAGCCCAGTTTCCTTGCTCAGATAATGCGTTGACCTGTAAAGCTCTTGGCACAGTGCCTGGCATTTAATAAACACTCAAGTATTGTCATAATTATATCTTCTCAATCCTAAACAGAGGGTGTTTTATATGATTCTTGGAACATTCGGTCCTGTCGTAATTTCATAATTAACATACTGTCATCAGGAGCTTTTAGATTTTTGTTAAGGTGTTTAGTCCCACTTTTACAGACAGAGAAAATAAAGTGAAAAGACCTTCATGAGTCACTAGTACATTGTGACTGAAGCTGGGAGTGTAATGCACACATGGATATAAACACATACGGGTTTCTTAATTTTTCTGCAGTTAACTATTAGATGCTGACCAACATCCCCCCTTCCCCCACAACTCTTATTTGGTTCTTTATTACCTATCCTAAACGTGATCTATGTATGATATTTGAGAATAAAGGGGTGCTAATGTTCATTTTTTAAGTGTTTAACAATACCACAGTTTTTAGCAGAGCTTTGTCTTCAATTCCAGAGAACCTTTACTGTTTGAGAGGATCATAAAGGCCAAAGAATAATTTAGTTGGGGTTTGTAAATAGTGTCTAGGAAATGAATTCAGGACCCTCAAAATGGTTTTAGCCATACTTTGCTACAAGATGTATGTACTAGGGTTGGGTCTATAGTAGCTGAATAATGTTCAAAAGAGACCATTAGATTGAGTTAAATAAGTTCTGGTTTAAAGAAGTGATAAGTCTGTGCTTGTCATTTGTAATAATGAAGTTTCATGCAGTTGCCAGGAGTTGTAAACTAAGTTTGTAGAGCAGACTGGTTGACTAGGGCCTCTGGGGTGAGATGACCAGGGATGGGATTCTGGCTCCACTATTCACCAGCTATCTGGCTACACTTTTGGCAAGTAACTTAACCCCTCTGTGTTTCAGTTTTCTGTAGAGTGAGGATAATAATAATAATACTATCTTTATAGAGCTGTCAGATTTAATAAAGAAAACATACATAAAACGCTTGGCTCGGTGTCTGTTACATGTTACATGTTAGCTGTTATTATAATTTACCAGTCCATTAAAAGCATATTGTCCAAGGCAAGCTGATTCAAAGGGAAATTTGATGAGACTTCAATATTTTGTATAAGTGAAAACCTCATTATAGGATTCAGCTTAATGATAGAATTATTGTTAATTCCAACTAAAGAAATGAATGTTTATGGCAAAAAAATCTATAGACTCTTAAGTAGATTTGAAAAAACGCACTTTTGAGACAGTGATTCAAGGGTTTTGTTTTTTCCTTTTATGTGTTATGTGTACAGCATGGCAATTATATATGGAGTGTTCTCCGCTTCAAATTTGATTACACCATCAGTGGTTGCCATTATAGGACCTCAGCTTTCTATGTTTGCAAGTGGTTTATTTTACAGGTGAGTAGTGCGATTTTCTTTCATTTAATCCAGACACCCTCAGCACCTTCCAAGCATATAGTAAACTTTTCACAAGAAATTGCTGATGTGGGGGTGCGTGGCTGGCTCAGTCAGAAAGGCATGTGACACTCGATCTCTGGGTTGTCGGTTCGAGCCCCACGCTGGGTGCAGACATTACTTAAAAAAAAAATTGCCGAGTTGGATTGAATAGAATACAGGCAGTATTTTAGGGATTTGGTTCTCTCCTTGATGCCTAGGGTTACCATGTTGTCTTAATGTGGTGGTATGTGTGCATATACTTCTTTTCATCTTACTATTCGTAGAAATAGGTATCTCTAAATCTCTTTCTATGAGAGTTGAAAAGAACTTCCTGTGAAATACTCTTATTTTATATCAAGTTGATTAATAGGAATTCAAGCGAGATAACTAAGCTTTTTTTCTGGGCTGTAGAATGACAGTCCCAGCCCGTGCTGAGCTATTGACAAAGGCCAATTGCAAACCCTCGTTCAATGTCCGATCTTACAAATTCAAAATAGTAAATTAAGAAATGAGTAGGTCACGTTTGTCCTTTTTTCCCCCAACACTTTAGGTAGTGTTGGAGAAATCCTTTACAGGTTGACTTTTAAAAAAGAATTCTCAGAACCGATTCCTAGAAGGCATAATTGGCATTCTATATGAGGTATTGTTTGACCGTAATGCGTTGACCTGTTACATTTTAGCATGTACATTGCCGTTTTTATCCAGCCTCTCCCATGGTCCTTCTACACAGCCTCTGTTTTCATTGGAATTGCAGCTGCCGGTAAGCATCTCGATGTTTATTTTCTCTGTCTTCTGGGATTTATTTAAGCGTATCATGTGTTTCATGTGTGAAGCCAAGTGATTTCATTCCCTTGACAAACTTTTGGTTTGAATTTCAGTGCTTTGGACAGCACAAGGAAATTGCCTGACAATAAATTCAGATGAGCATACTATTGGGAGAAACAGTGGAATTTTCTGGGCACTCTTACAATCTAGGTAATAATCCTTCTGGAGCTCAGTCTTTCCTTTAATTCTTTTGTCACACCATTTTTTTAGATCTTTGTTGTGTTGAAAATTCCAATCTTCTGTGTTCCATGACTTGAGTTCCTAGCTGCATATGATACGGATTTAACGTTTTATAAAATTGCATGAAATGCATGGACCTGCCTAACTGGGACTAGTGATTAGTAAAGAGAAAATCATGTTAACCATAATTGTATTTAGCATCTGCTATATTTCAGGCAGGGACTGTTGGCTTCATTACTAAATCTCAGTAATCCTCACCACCTCATAAGACCAGAAGGTATAATCTGTGTTCTACAAATGAGAAAACAGAGGCTTAAAAGTGAAGTAACTTATCAGATTTAAACCATCCTTATCTGGATTCCAAAGACCACATCCTTCCCACTGAGTTGCACCTGATAGCTATTAATGAATATATTAAAATTCAAAAGTGAGGGGCGCCTGGCTGGCTCAGTCAGGGGAGCATGTGACTCTTGATCTCAAGGTCGTGAGTTCGAGCCACACGTTGGGTGTAGAGATTCCTTAAAAATAAGTGAACTTTAAAAAAAAAAATTAAAGTGAGACTAATTATATCAGGGCTGAATGATACAACATGTTCTATATTTCCTAAGTAAAAAAGCAAGAA